CCCCCCCCCCCCCCCGTTCTCAAAAATAGGATCTACTACCTGCCACAGATACTTTCCTAAAAAAACAAACTCATTTAAGAATCCCTTTCCCCTCCCAGTTAGCACAGCTTTGGGGCTTCCTGAAAGCTTAAAGTTATTTCTAATTGGATATTGTAAGTTTCCTGTGTTTTTATCCTGGGAAAACATCATGTTGTACTCAACATGGCAGACAGACAAGGTGGGTATGCCAGCAGAAAAAAAAAAAAAAAAAGAAAGATTCATCTTTCCCTTGATGGGAGCTGCCTGCTTTTCAATCAGGTCTCTAGAGTCCCCATCCCATAGCTCGCAGGGGAGTGGGAGGTGCTGGGGAGCAAACCTGACTCAATCCCTACCTTGCTTTTCTGGACTAAGGAAATGTGAAGGCTCTGACTTAAACCGTGACGACGTGTAGCTTCTTATTGATATGAAACATTGCTTGAAAAGCTTTCTTGGACATCAACTGCTCCTGACACTGAGTTTGTGTGTGTGTGTGTGTGTTTTGATAATCTACACGCCCAGAGATTGCTGAGTTTAAATGTCATGTTAAGTGCTCAGGCTTAAATATTAAGTAGGACAAAGTGCTTGACAAGAATCTGTTCGGGGTTCACTGAACACAAAGGGTTTAAAAGTAATTGAAAATAAAACTAGCCAGGCTTACCGTCCTTTGGACCCTGTGATAGGTCCCACAAACACACACCAAGAGATCTGTGCTACAGCCTTGTACCGAGTTCCTCTCTCCCTCTCTCCTCTGCAAAACCACCTACCATTCACTTCAAAGACTGGCTGGCAGAGTTCCCCACCCAGTTTAACTTCACCAGCGTGGGGCAGGGCACCCATCACCCGTGCACACCAGCATATTCACGAGCTGGTTTCCCAGGTCAGTGGTCTAGACAGGTAGAGCTGTGGCATCCGGTTACTGTGTGCGGTTGGATGTTGACTCCAGTTATTCCCAGCATTTCACTGCTGGATCCCATAAAGGATCCTGACCTAGGCCTTTTGGGCTGCCTGGGTGGGGAGGTCATGTGACTTTTCTGAGCCCGGGTCTTGCTATGCTCCTGGGCTGCTCTTCAGGAGGAGGAGAAAGAAGAAGATGCCCAGGGCTGGACCGTCTCAGAGCGGCCGCTAACTTGTAACAGCCAAGAAGGGACGCTTGCGTGAATCATGGAGGTTTTGGAGCTCTGGGTTCCAGAGACAAAACCTAGTGAAAACTGGCACAGAGAAGCCCTCACTTCGGATTCCATGCTAGCCTAAAAATACGGAATTCAAAGAAAGGCATAGAAGTCTGAAATCACCCTCATGGGACCGCCAAATGCTCCAAATGTGGTCTAGGATGAGAACTTGGAGCAGAGAAATGACGGCAGTCTAACCTGAGGGATGTCTGCAGGAAGATGGGTGTGTCTGGTCTAAAAGGAGGTCATTTCAAAGTCAGCACTTAGGTACAAGGCACAGGTGAATCTTCAGAAGGTGGCACATAGGAGACCCACTGCACCATTCCAAACTTCCTTTGATCTGCGGATCTGATGACTCTGTGACCTGTAATCTCAAAGACACGAAATGTCCTGCGTCTTTACCTCTGTACCACCGACAGCTTTGGTTTCAGGAGGGGACTTTTTAAAGCCCCATCATTTTTATCTCATCGCTCCCTTTACCAGCAGAAGGAAAAACAATGTACTTCCTAAGTGGGGAGCTTAAGAGTGGAGAGATTAAGTAATTTATGCATATACGTTCAGCCAGGAGGCAGCAGATCTTGTCCAGAGAACCAGCTCTGTCTACCCTGGGCATCGGCCTCCTAACTACGACACCATCACAGGGACATGGTGACTCATCACTTATGCCCTGCCAGCCCTTGTATAGGCACCGTATCGGACCCTCATGTAGAACCTAACACAGTTACTACCGTTACTGCCGTATTCCTGATGAAGGCTCAGCTATGCGTCTGTGAGCCCTCTAGCCACTGGAGGGGACTGGAAGGAGGAGAATGGCCGGTGTGGAGCCAGAAGGTCCAAAGGTCTAAGCTCCTAGGTGGTACCATTGCTGCAAATCTTGAGGTCACACTTGGAGAACAGAGTCTACACACAAGTTACAGAGACTACGGGGGAGATAAGTATGGTGGGGAAGTGGCAGGAAGCTGATGGGGGTCAGAGTACCACATGGGACTGCCAGGAAGTCACAGCTGTCCTCGAAATGTGCCCAGAGCACGGAAGCTCAAGTGGACTGTCTCAGAGAATAAACAATGATGACAAAGAGCTAGAGAGGTTTGGATGGGGAACACTCTGTTGAAAATTACTCCAGGTCTCTTCCTTGCATAAGCACCGTCCTATAGAGGCCCTCAGTTCCACACTGAATAAGAACTCTGGAGGCCTGACCTTCAGAGATAGCTGGACTCCAGGGATGGGTACCCAAACATCGTCTGACTCAAGGCAAAGTAGCGTTAAAGGCATTTGTAGCAAGTCCAGCTTGGATGCTTTGTTAGTTAAGGCCAGGCTGCTACAAGTCCTTAGCCGAGAACATTACAGAATCACGTAAGAGATATGTGTATGTCCACTTCCTTCCTCGGCTCTGCCATTGTGGGGCCAAGTGTTAGCTCCTGTACCACGAGGGGTGAGCATGCACTCACTCATACCATACCTGAGCAGAACATCTAGCCTTGATCTGTGTTGCATTAGGAGCGGCGGGGCTGCGTCCCCGGCACCCGGCCGCCCGCATGGCTAGCTTATGCCCAGAAATAATTACACGGAAACTGTATTCTTTCAAACACTGCCTGGCCCGGCTAGTTCCAGCCTCTTATTGGCTAGCTCTTACATATTGTTCTAACCCATTTCTAATATTCTGTGTAGCCCACGAGCTGGCTTACCAGGGAGGATCTTAACCTGCGTCTGTCTGGAGCGGGAGAACCATGGCGACTCCTCACACAGCTTCTTTTTCCCAGCATTCTCCTCTGTCTACTCCGCCTACCTAATTTTCTATCCAATAAAATGGGCCAAGGCAGTTTCTTTATTAATAAGAAATCACTCCCACATCATTTCCCCTTTTTCTGTTTAAACAAAAAAGAAAGGCTTTAACTTTAACATAGTAAAATTACATATAACAAAACAGTT